TAAATTCATTCAAAGAATGATGAATAATTATTATTCTATAATGAGAGTTAGAGTTCAATTGATAATTTTTCTTTAAGATTAATTATTTTTTAAAATAGATATTATTATATATTTTTAAATTTATTTATTATTGTAGGATTTAAATTCACATAGAATAAATATAATACAATACTATTACTCATATACTAATTAAAAAATTATCTCCTTTTTTATTACTTTATATTAAAAATGTATCTGTATATAATACTTATACATTTTTGATAAAATTGGTATTTTTTTCTCAGAAATTATTTAGATCAATATAGCTTCTACATTTTATGACACTACAATTAAAATAAGTACAATAATAATTACAATTATTGTAATACAATTATAATATTGTTAGCTATATATTGTAATATAGAAGAAAAATTAAAATTCTAAATAAAACAAAGTCTAATAAAATCTTTAAGTAATATTAAATAGAATATGATTCTATTCTACAAATTTTTCAACATAAGAATTGAATATATGAATCACTGTATGAAGTAAATCTGATTTCATATATAATATATAAATATTTATATATTAGCAAAAATTATAAAAATTAAAAAATTATTTTACTCAAAAGAATTCTTAAAATTATTTTACTCAAAAGAATTCTTAAAGTTCAAGATATTATTTTTTTTATAAATATTTATTAAAAATGTTTTATATTTAATACATAAAATATTATTTTTTTTTACCAAAAATTTTGTTGCAATTAAAATTTGATGTTGTAATTGTTTCTAATTAATATTCATTGATCCATATTTTATTCATAATATAAAGAATATAAATAGTAAGTATTACTCATATCTTTGACCATTTCAATATAGGTCACAATTAAATTTATTGCGCTAATTTTATTTAAATTTGCATGTATCTCAAAACGTATTACTATAACATAAATTTTAACAAAAGAAAAATAATTTTTGAAAAGTATTTTTTATCTATTAAGTTTAAAAATAATTTCTTTTACATTTAATACAATATTTATCAGTCTCATGAGCATATGTATCTTGAATTATAATATATATTTCCTTCGCTCTTGGTTTATAATAATTTCAATCAATATTTATTATATTTCGGATATAAGAAAATCACGAAATATATATTTTGTTAATTCCTTTACATAATTTATCTGTTTTTTGGAATCTGATTTGTTTCTTTTTTTAATACATTTATTTACAAATAAATATAATTTTATGTAAGAAAAAAAAATTGTATTTATAAATTTTAGCAATATAATATAGAGCTTTCTAATTGATATATCATGATATTATATTAACAGTATTATAGTATATTAACAGTATATTATATAATACCATGATATTATATTATAGTATAATATTAAATCTATTATAGTAACAGTAATAATATTTTTTATATCTCAATTTTCTCGAAAATAAATATTTTTTTATTTCATAAAAAATTTATTTATAAAAGAATTATTTCATATATTTTTATATATATATCTTACATTTAAAATTAAAATAATAATTCTTTACCATTTGGAATCAATATTCAATAAGAAAATAATTAAATTCACATATACTTAACAAATTTTTAAATTTATTTACTCAAAATAAGGCTTTGAATAAAAAAATTTTATATCTTTAATTTTATATTTGTATATTCAAGATAATTTAATAACAATCATTAATTAATATCTTGTATCTATCATTCATTTCTATCATTATATCATATTGTGTAAAAAGTCAAAATTTTCAATTTTCATTTTATTTTATGAAATATCTTCACAACTACTGTGACTACTGTGTTAAACATGATCTAAGAATACGTAGTATGTAATAACGATAACGACCAAGAATATCGGCCGCATGTACGCAATGCAAATGGATTGTAATAAAAAGAAAAAAAAAAGAGACAAGGGAGATATCTCGTTCAAGCTTCGAGAGAGAAGATACAAAACTCTCTTCCTTCATTTTCTCTCATCAAGCAAACAGAGAAATTCTATTTAACATGGTCAAAGCGAATCGTCATTAGCCTCGCTCAAGTTGCCCGCAATCAGTATACCTCCTTCCCCTACTCCGCGAAGGTAATAAACATTACTATCACGAGCGTTGCTATTATTATTACGAGGCGGCTCGAGATACGCGTGTTTCGCAAGCTTCTGTAAGCGGGTCGACGACAGCCAGCCCCGCGAAGACGAGTTGAAATTCCTAAGAAATGGGACACGCGGCTAGGGGGCGTAAAAGTACGGAAAGATCTCGGTGGTTGCCTAGACGCAGGGGCTTTCTCTTTCTCCCCCTCAGGAGTCTCATCCATCAGTCACTTAATATTTCAAAGCAGCGCCTTACTTTCCATCCTCCTCTCACCCCGTTTCTTTTTCCCATCCCTTCATCCACGAGGATCCGCGAGAAAACGAATGGTGCCAGCAGTCTTTTAAAAACCTTAAAACACCACCGGAGTCGACGCCACTCGGTCTGAGAGTAAAGTTTTCAGACTGTTCGGGCTGATATTAGGCGATAGAGGCACGAGACTTGGTGGCAAGGAGTGGGGGAAGAGCGACGTCTCGCCTCGATTTCGATGGGCGCGCGGAGAGTGGAGGGAAATCTCGCGGGGGCGTCCCTCCGCACGAATTTCAAATTTCTCGTTTCACGCGACCGAATGGGATTCTTCCCTTTTCCTGCGAGCACCTGCTCAAGCGTGCTGCCCAACGAATCGATTTGCCGCTCTCTGTCGCGCTGCGAAAGGTTCTCGCAAACACCGATAAAAGCTTCTTTCTTCCGCTAGATGAATAAATACGCGTGTGGGGCATGCGACTATATACCTCCGCCCGTGTCGACTTCTTACGAATCTCGAACGTATGTGAGATACGTAATGGAAAACGTAAAGGGGTGTGATATTTTTCTCTTTTCCTTTATCCTATGGTCGAATGTAAAACGACATGGATGTGGCCGTTTGAGATTGCTTTGTTGAGTCAAAATGCTTTCGGCAAGTGAGGGGAACTTGGAAATATGGAACAAAATTTGTAGAGAAGTTTTGTAATAATATATAATATATATGGTTATTTATGGATTAAAAGATGTATGTAAAAATAAAGATTGTATTGGAATTTGTTTAAAAGGGCATGTTTTTTTATGAGAATGAGTTGAAAGTGTAGAATGAAATTTATAAGAAGATTCTGAAAGTTTATTTATATAATGAAGTGAAAAAGGCATTTTTGAAATTATATTTTTGAATCATATTTTTAAGAAGAGCAAATTAAAGATGTGTATAAAATTTGCAGAAAGATTCTTGCATTTCTTACTGATTATTTTTTTAAAAATATATGAAATGTATAATATACGATGAAGCATTTTGCATTACAAATTTTAATGCAAAATGTTTTATGTGAGAATAAAGTTTGTAAACAAATTCTGAATTTTTTATTTTATATATGTATATACTGCACTAATTACTATATCAATATAAGATTACTAGATCGGCACATATATTTTCTTGATATCTATATCTATTTTTAAATGATTTCTATACCTATTTTATTTTTATGTATTATACAAAAAGATTATAATGCTCAATTGAATAATTTAAAATAATGAATAAACTTTTTTTTATAATATAATTTAACAATGTAAATTTTAAATAATAAATAAAAATTCATATATATTATAAATACATTTTAGTTATCATCATTAAAAATTTAAAATATTCATTAAATAAATATATTTTGTAATTTTAAATATTAAAAAATTTTTTTTATTTTTTTATTTAATTTTGCATTAATGTATAAATACTCTTTATAATCTTATTATATGGCACATATATTTAATCGATTTAAAAATTTTTTTTCTCATAAGGACATTGTCATAAAATTAAAATTCCATTTTTTCCTAACTATATCATTTTTAACGCTCTTTATAATCACATACAATCACGGATAACGACGAGTTGAAACGCGAACCATGACACACTGTTGTCGGTATTAATAGAATGTATGTTGAAAGTTGTGTAACTAGCGCCGCGCGCAACGTCCAAGTTCGCAGACTTTTCCTCCCAACAGTTTTTGTTGTAATCCGTAAATCCCAACACGATCACAGATCTAGCGTGATCGTTTGTGACTTTCAGAAAAGTTAAATTAAAGGCAACTGTAGGGTATTATTATAAATAGGATGAACCAAGACGCGAACAATGGTCAGAATCGGTGTTTAAGGATATTTCAAGAATATCGAGAACATAATTATATCCCGAGTAATTACCGAGTATACTCTTAACTCTTGAGTAGTGCCGTTCGAGGAAGGAGAAGGTAATCGGTGGTTGGCCTTGTCCGGTAATTGTACTAATTATTACCGCTCTCTTCACTCCCGCTCCCTTGTATTCGCCTAAGGGGCTGCTTCCTCCCCCGGCAACTCAATTATCTTGCTGTCCTGTGCGCCATTCTGAATTTACCAGAGATCAGATTCGAGAGGTTCTTAATTCTTGGAAAAAGAAATTTCTGCTCAATGTTACTTTAATTAAACGCGATTAAGATCAACAACTAATGGACCATAGTAGGTATCGAATAATACGAAAAAACATATGAATCAGCTGCATTCAAAATTTTGCTATCTTATCTGATTCACTAAACAAATCCCAGCTTTCAATACATAATCTACGTTTAAGTTTATATCGTACTTGAGAGGTCAAATTCATAACGTGAAGCGATAACGAGGATTTAACCTATGATATTGATAAATATCCACAATATATATACTTATGTATATCGAAAATATGTTTGATATACGTTCAAAAAAAATAATTTTATAATTATCAATGTAATGTTTATAAGTTTTTTTAAAATTAATAAAAAAAAAAATATAATTTTAAAGTTGAATGTAAAAGTACCATATATATCTACGGTCCTGAAACAACTGACGTGACCTCAGGCGGCGATGGTAAGAAGGGAATACGCGCGGTTTAGATACCTAATGTATGTGATTGAATGAGAAATGTAACCTAGTTAAGATAATATTTACCTGAGTCTTGTCGTATGCCTCAAGCTGTTCGTCTGCCTTTTGTTTGTCGTAAAGTAGTCTGGCAAGGCTTCCATGTGGTCTGTAACTTCTTACGACTCTACTCGTGGTATCCTGATTGACAGTAGAACAGGTAGCCAAATTCCTGACGTCGCAGGTGCACCTTGGTACAGGCGCATCCGCACTCGCCATGCCCACGAGGAGCACGTTAATGACTATCAGTCACCACACACACATGACATGACGATACTCGGCACCGTAATCTTGTGGCTAACACTTTGGTATATGAGCAAGAAAAATACGAAAGATGACGCAGTTCGCGTAAACACGTCTAGCACGTGGCCATGTTGGCGACGATAGCGCCGTCTGCAGTTCTATTAATGAGTTACGTTTCCCGTAAGCAGCTACAGTCGACGATGTAGGAACAGACAATAATGTTTCAATAAAATTTTTCAAAAAAATATAGTATTTAAAGTCATGGTATATATCTTTTATTCGTATACAAAGTTATAGATTTTGTTAATTTGTATTCATATAAAAAAAGAGAACAGTTTTTGAATGACATACATATTTAAAAAGGATTTGAATTTAATGCTTGATAATATGTCGATAAAATTGCGGAAATAACTCATTGTGAAAATTATATGATTCTTAAGTGATTATTTTTTGATCTTCATTTTAAAAATCAGGAAAATTAATACTTTAATATTGCTTTAATTATTTTATTAATAATCTCATAATATTATTATAATTTTTAATATAGAAATATTTTTGTTAAAATTATATTATATTATATTATATATTATGTTATTTTATAATATGTTCTATATATATTCCATAATCATCATTTGAACATATATATGGAATATATTATAGAACATAATTTTATTTATATAGTATAACATAATTATGTTTTTATATGTTATAACATTTTGTTTTTTATAGTATAACATAAAAAATTATGTTTATTATTATTTAATTTTTTAATTTTTTACAAAATTTTAATTTATTAAATATTATGACAAAAATTATAATTCATTAATTAAATTATAATTCATTAATCTAGATATTTGTTCTTTTTAATTTTAATTTTAAATAATTATTTCATTTATCTACTTATTATAAACTTCATATAATATATAATGTACATATATAATTTTGTTTTTTTATTTTAAATAACAATAATAATATATGCATAGTTATAAATTTTTAATGAATTCTATAACAATAATAAGCATATTAAAATCTTAAATATATATCAAATACATTCATGCATCAGTGGCGTTCAATCATGCAATATCTTCATAATCATATTTTTCTAAAATTATTAATTTACATTTAATCTTGATTTGAATCTGAATTTCAGTGCAGTTCTTAATAGAGATTAAACAAATGAAAAGAAAATAAAATGTAAAATTTCTTTGTTAAAGGATAGGACAAAAATAATGAAAGAATTATGATTAAGAACAAGAAAATACATGATTGTAAAAGTAAGAAAGAAAAAGAACGAATAAAAAAGAGACAGCGGTATGGACAGAGGTTAAAGAACGCATCGAGGTGAATCGCGGAGTATCGACGTAGTTCTTGATAAATACAATTCATATTGTGAATCATAAGATATATTTGTTGATAATCATATATTTTAATATCATTCTAATTATGTTATAATTGATATTTTTATTGTTAATATCCTATCTTATCAGCTGATTATAAATATTATATATTATATAATCTATGTTTTTTAATTGAATTTTTCATATATTTTAAAGTAAATCATAAGCGACATCATAAGATTGATGATGCTTTTTAATAATTACTGGCGATATCTATGGTCATCCCATGTATACTGCTTATACTATACTTTTTGACCTTATTTTTTTTCATCAGGTAGTTTTACATCCCAATTTTATCGACACGCATAAAAGTTTTACGCGATATAAATACAGCTTAAAGAAAATTTCTTGTACACCGGAGTGCATCGATGAATATTTTAAATACCATATTGACGTAGCGCGCGCGCGCATTACTTCCTCTCTCGTGCTCCCCGTACTGAGAACTGATAATTCATTAATTTATGATAAGCTAGCCTCTCGCCTACGACCTACATCCTCCCCTCCTCACCCCATAAATCATTTTCACCGCTGACATTAATTGCACGCCGCCCCTCGTTACCAGGAGAAATGAGATTTTTTTAATTGGCAAATTTTTCACCGTCGCCGACATTGTGACACCCTCTCTTGAGTCTTTCATTTCTTTTTCACATTACTATGTCATGTGAGGGAATGTAAATATCTTTTATATTTTGTAATGTGAAATTTTTCTTTTCAAAAGATGTATTTAATATTAGATATAACATCATTTTTGTAAAATTATGTTTGATTATTAATTTTTAGTTTATTATTACATACAATAAAAATAATTATATGGAAATTAGAACAAATATTAAATTTGTTGTCAATAAAGAAAATAAAAAAATAATAATAGAAAATTTTACGTATATTAAAAAAAAAATATAAAATTATTTATTTAAATTTTATCTTTTTTATCTATTATTTTTTATATCTATTAAAATTTAAAACAAAAAAAAAAAATAATAGAATTTAAAAGATATGTTACCTTTAACAAATTTCCAGTGTAATTTTATATAAATATAGTGATGTAAACTAAAATAAATATAAAATATAATTAATTTAAAAATAATTAATTTAAAAATATATTATTTATCTAAATTATCACTAAACCATATATATAAAATTATATATATAAGTTAATATAGATCACTCTTGTATATATTCAAAGTTTTTAAAATAAATATCAATATCTGAAAAATAATCAGCTACGAAATTAATTAATAATTAATTCATGAAATATATAATTATATATAATATATATAATATATATTAATATTTAAATATAATATAATTCATATGCCATAAATACTCAATAATAATTTTGTTTTTTTTATTACTTTCTTAATAATTTCATTATATTTTTGAAATTAGATGAATTTTTGTATTTAGATGAATATTTATATTTATATTTATATCATATAAATTTATTATTGAACAATAATACTATTTTAACATAAATCATTAATATGTTTAAAATATGTTTAAAGAAAAAAAATAATTTTTTAATTATAAGATATCAATATCAATATTTTAAATTTCATGATATAAATACTACATAGAATATTAATGAGAATAGACAACATTTTTTTTAACATTACAAGAAACCATCACATTTTCATATAATAATTCATCTCGTGTTGCCTATACATAATTTTACGATCCTTTTTTCAAGCAGTTTATTAGATTCTAAAGTGCGTCGAGTCGCGAAAGGTTAAAGAAGGATGCTGTCGCAGTGAGTTGTGTGAGCTCTAACTTGTCTGAGACATGTTTGGACTGTGACCGTCACTTAAAGCTTAAACATGTGATGCACGTGTTCCCTTTACAAAGCATACCGTGCCATGGTATTCCACTGATTCGAATCCCTAATCTTCCCTCCAAGTATTCAGAAGTTTCGCATACACCATAAGTATGTACAGAGCGGAGCATTAGTGTAACGATATCGTATTGTATTTTTTTTTATTGAACGATATATGTGATAGTGATCGTGCTACTCAACCATATTTGAAAAGTAAAGGGAAAAAGCAGTGGACAAGAAAGGAAATATTCTACTGGAAAAATTAATTTTTAAAATTTTAAAAAAGAAACAGCAATAGATTTGCTCCTTTGTTTATAATAAAAATTATTCATAAATATTTTAAATAAGTACCAGAAAAAAATTAATAAGATAAATTAATAAATAATTGTTTTTTATCTTTTGATTTCCTTTTTAAATTAAAAATTAAAACAAAAATACTAGAATTGGAACAAAATAAATAAATGATTTATCCTATTTATCATAATATTGATTCCTATAATATTCATATTATATTATTTATTATTTATTACACTTATTTATTTAGTATGTGAAAAATATTAATAAATAAATATTAACAACATATCAATGATTTAAATTTAAAATTTCTTCATTCAATTTTTATTTATTGTATTTTTATTATATATCATAATTTTAAAATATATGTATTTTTTATATATATATTTTGTGTTAAAAAATAAATTTAAATAAATAAATATTTTATTTACTAGATGATTTATTTTATATATAACATAGTAATCGAATCTGTGAATTGTAAACAAAAAAATTGTAAGGCAGACACGACAAATTTCTAATCAGATATTTTATTTATCGTTCATGTACAAGATTTTATTGCTTCTAATGTAAATAATGCAAATTATACTATACTAATTAAAAAATAAGATATACAGTAAAAAATAAGAAAGATAAACGTAATTCTTCTTTTAATAAAGAGAAAATATATATTTTTTTAGAAGATATTCAATTATTTCAATTATGCATGATGATATTAAGTCATTATTAAGTATTATCATATTAAGTATTATTATTATATAATCTATTTTGATTCTACAAAACTATATTTTCAATTGTTCACAAAGAAATGATATATTTGAATTGTGTGTTATAAATTAAAATGAAACATTTCTTATCTTTTTTTTTTTTTTACATTTATTTATTTTCTATCTTATTTTTTTATCTATATTTAGAATATAATAATTAATCATAAAAATTCATTAGAAACAAATTGAGAAAGTATTTTCGAAAATAAAATATTAACATGATAAATAATAATTAACAGGTTAATAACTAATGAAATTAAATTCTTCGTAGACAAGTTTCCGATAAGTTTTCGAAATGTCACGCGTTTGTACGAAAATTTACATAACTTTTACTATCGCTATCCGGTAATTAGTTGCTTATCAAGTATTACCATACTTTTCTGGTTTTGATTTTTATAATTATTTAATATATGCGAACAGAAATTCATAAGTAAGTTCATAAATCTGGTTAAAATTATATTAAATTCTTGATTTTTCTCTTTCATCTATAGATTTGAAGTTTTGAAAATGATTTGAAAGATAATATTGAAATATTGAACTATAATTTTGCTTCTTAAGTAGACGCAATTGGACGATATAAAGTTAACTATAAATCATATATCAGGAACGATTAAATTATTAAAATCCTTTATTCATGAGAAAGTAATTTAAGGCGTTTATGCGAACATGGTAACTATTGAAAGCACCAGTTGAAAATGTCAAGTGTCAAATGTCATAAAAACATTAATAAGCGATGTGTATAAACTAATTTTATCCAAAAATACAATGTACTACTACGTTAATTTTCGCACAAGAATTTATTATAATAATATATTATATATCACAATATATATAAAT